CCTGCACAGAACCCAACAATCGCCATTAATACATGATCGGCACGAGGCGATTCGGTTTCGTGAAAACGTGCGCCATTACGAATGACCATGCGAAGTGACGCTCCACTCACCAACCAACGGTTCAGTTCCGAAACTTCATATCGAAGTCCTTAATACCATTGATAAACGAGAGGCGAGTCCGGCCTTCCCGATCACGTCGCTCTATCCGTCCGCCGAAGTCGACCCGGGCACGACCTCGACGAACGGAGGGACTAACTGTATTGGTAGAAATTCGGCCATACGATGACCAGAGGGCCAACCCCATCGCGACCAATTTATAGTAAATGGTCAACGCTATTGATTCTTGACTTATGACAGTTGTCCTTAAGATGAACGACGGGGTCATGGCCCTTTCGCAAAAGGGGACGTCTCCACAGCCGAAAATGACGTCAACTCGTGGCCAGCTCACAAAGCTTGAAGCTATAAATACCAAGAGAGAGAACCTCTTCAAGGAGAGCTTCTCCAATGGGCAGAGAGAAAGTATTTAACACTCCATTCTCTCTCCTGATTCTTCTCCTCATGGGCCAAAACAGAGAACATTCTTGGTTCTGAGAACAAAAGGAAGAATGCTCCATCACGTTGAGGAGGACGTGAGAAGTTCAGAAATCGACAGGCTCTCGACCTCTTCCCAAGGAAAGAGGACAATGACCTGCAAAAAGGAAAGCCAAATCTGTAATCCTTGAACCTCTCCAAGGAGGGGCAGGGTCAAATTCTCTAATCAATAAAGCTTCTTGCGTATTGCTTAAATGAAAATGGTTGTCTTGTTGCTTTAATTCCTGATTCAGTATTAATTATGATTGGCTAGGATTTACCTATGATTCATTTTGATTGTTTTCTCTTACAAAGTAATTAGTATCTTTTGATCCAAACAATTTGGCGTCGTCTGTGGGAATTTCGGCAATCGAAACCATAGTTCATACCTAGGATATTAGAAAACAACGGTCACCGTTCTTCGTACTCCTCAGAAACCAAACGATGGCAGAAAGAGAAGCACGGCTGAAAACAATAGCAGATGTAGAAACCAACCTCATAGGCCCTCTTAACGAGGCCGGTAGAGAAAACATCATAGGCGCAACACCTGGTAGTGCACCAGATGAGGAGATCTCACCCTCTTCACTTGAAGACTTAACGATTCTGCACGAGAAAGGGGCTTCTACATCGGCCGCCAAAGAAACAACCCCGGTAGTCAAGAAGCTACTGGAAGAGTGGTTGACAAACACTCTAAGCAGTTTGCTCGAGAAATCGCCTCAAGGCAACACCAGGGACTCACCGGCAGCAGACGTCACTATTGCCACCGGTGAACTTGGCGCTGTACGAGCAAACAACACTAATGTCGATGTCCAGGCCAACGATGGTGCACTCGCGGCCATCCTTAAAAAGATGGAAGAAATGGAGAATGAGAACAAGGCACTTCGAGATCAAATGAAAGAGCATCAAGAAAGAGTGGACAAAATTCCCGGTGCTCCTAAGTTACTACCAAAACGCGACGTAGGAAGATTCGTCGAACAGCCGTACAGCGAAGAGGCTGTCCCTCATCCGATCCCAAAAATCTTCAAGATGCCACCTTACTTGAGAATATATGACGGGACTACGGATCTCGAGGACCACCTGATCCACTATGTGACCGCTGTGAAGGGCAACGATTTGTCAAAAGAACAAGTACCATCCGTATTGCTGAAAAAGTTCGGAGAAACGTTGACAGGGGGGGCCCTAACATGGTACTCTCAGCTGCCAGCTAGGACAATATCAACATTCGAAGAAATGGCGGATAAGTTCGTCACCGCCCATACAGGAGCAAAGAAAGCAGAGGCCAGGGTCAACAATATCTTCGCCGTCAGGAAAACCATAGGAGAGAGACTCAGGGACTTCTTGGCCAGGTTCAACAGGGTAAGGATAAGCCTACCAAATGTATCGGAAGGCATGGCTGTCGCAGCCTTCCAAACGGGCTGAACAGAGATGGCTCAAGGGCGACAAAAAAGCTACTGAGCCGACTCATGAAATATCCCCCCACCACATGGGAAGAGATCCACAACGCCTACTGTGCCGAAGTACGAGCGGATGAGGATGACCTCAATGGACCGACCCAACGGCTAACGACGATACAATCAGAAACAAGAAGGGATCGATGCAACGACGGGCGACGGGAACAGCTCCCGCGCTTCAACAAAGAAAGGCATCAGCCCTACGTTAGATCCTCTCATCCACCACCGCCGAGGCACACAGAGGCATTGCAACGACATGTTGTTCCACTCCGGAATGAAAAAGGTATGCCCCCTTTATTATTTGCCCATAACTTTTGCGTGTCTCCCTTAGAAATAGTGTACGCACTGGAGAAACTGGGCACCAAGGTGCAATGGCTGCAGAAAATGAAATCAGATCCTACAACAAGGAGATCGAACGTCCTGTGCGAGTTCCATCAGGAAAGAGGACAAAACCGAAGACTGCATAGGTCTACGACAAGAAGTAGTCAGGATACTGAACCAAGGACACCTGAGGGAGCTGCTTAGCGATAAGGGAAAGACCAACTTCGCACGAGGGCGGGAACAACCCCAAGGGCCTCCGAGACCACCTTCGCCAACACGCACCATAAACATGATCGTCGGAGGCGGCGATGATTCAACAATCAACCACGTAAAGTTCACCACCACGCACAAACTGAAACGAACAATCGCCCATGAACGGTATGACGACTTCGAAGAGAGTATCATCTTCGATAAGTCCGATGCCGACGGTTTGTCTTTTCCTCATTATGATGCTTTGGTCATAATTTTACGTATTGCCGATACTGATGTTAAGAGAATCATGGTTGACGACGGAAGCGGCGCCTGTATTATCCATCCAAGAGTCCTCATGCAAATGAGACTTGAAGATAAGATAATACCGCGTTGCATAACACTAACTGGTTTTAACAATGCAGTAGAACGGACCTCCGGGGAGATATCATTGCCGGTTTTGGCAGGGGGAGTCACGCTGGAAACCACTTTCCACGTCATGAACCAGGAGACAGCCTACAACGCCATCATAGGACGCCCTTGGATACACGCCATGCGAGCAGTCCCTTCAAGCTTCTACCAAGTAATCAAGTTCCCCACCCCATGGGGAATGTTTAGCATTCGGGGCGAGCCGCGCACCGCACAAGAATGCTACCGAATCGCTCAAGACTGCGCCCACACCAAACAGTTGGAGGGAGCAAGTGCGGAGGCATAGCAATCAGCCATGTCGGGGACTAAGGTCGACCCGACAATGGAAGTCATCGAAGAT